CCCCCTTCTACCCTCCCCCCCCAAAAAAAAACCCAGTCCCATCTCTCAAGGAACTTACGTGGGGGTTGGGAATTATCATATACACATGTAGAAATAAATTGATACAAATTATTTTAGGAGAGAAGGAAAAAGCACTACCTACCAAGTGGGAGACTCGGGAAAGAGATCTTGTGATAGATATCAGAATTCCTGCACAGAGTGAAAAGTTATATTATGGGCCCTTCCTTATCTAAGGTTCTCATATACTTTACCTTTCAGTGCAGGCCTTAGGCCAGAAAAAACACTAAATGGCAGGTAACTATAGATAATAGGCCTGGGAAGCAAGACCCCCATAACAACTGACTTTTAATTGCTTCCTCCGGGATATCAACAGTTCCTAGGACTTTGAGAATTAGTATTTAAATACCTTTGGCTCTTTTCCCTATCATAGGCCTTTTTTAGGCTCATATCCCTAAGTATCTTTTTCTTTTTTATATGTCTTTGTGTTTTTCTTCTCTGTTACATTTCCCCGATAATTACACTATTCCTACTAACTTCAACTTTAATGTGTTTAGAAATGTTCAGTAATAACATTGTTCATAGAGCTTAATAACTATATAGTACCTCAATATCTCTGGAGTCAAAATAAAAATCTATTAGAAATTCATGAGATTCTATCAGTGGGAATGACATTAAAGAAAAGGCACTAACCTGCTTTGCTGCTACACCCAAAGGACTATAGGACTTTTCCATTTGACTTGTAGCTGAAATCTTCCACATGTGCTGTCTCCACCATTAGAATGTGAACTCCAACATAGCAATTGCTCAATAAATGCTTGTTTTGGGGCAGATAAGTGGTGCAGTGCATAGAGTTCCAGCCTTGGAGTCAGGAGAACCTGAGTTCAAATCCAGCCTCAGAGACTTGACACTTACTTGCTGTGTGACCCTGGGCAAATCACTTAATCCCAATTGCCTCATCAAAAAAAAATTAAAATAAATTATGATTTAATTCATTCATTGTAATCTCAGATTTTATAGAAGAATGTGGTTATTACTGTTTAACATGTTTTCTTCTAATGTCTTGCAGGTAACAACATTTGGAAATATTGAAAGTATGATGCAAAATGCTCATTTGGTGATAGAAGGCACGCTAATCTATTTAAGTGAAAGTACAGAATTTTTTATACGTGTAAGAAATGGATGGAAAAAATTACAGGTAATTATTTTTATTCTTTCCCTTTTCCTTTCAATGAAATAGTTCCAATGCCTATCATCTAAAATGATGGTCCTGTGAATTTTATTTGTAACCTTTTTAATAGAAAGGTAGCATAGTCTTATGGATAGAGAGTTAGCCTTGAAGTGAAAAGGACCTGGGTTCATGTCCTGCCTCTGACACGTAATAGCTGTGTGATGCAAATGATTTAATATTTTAGCACCCTAGGCAATGCACCAAGGCTGTTCATTGAAAAGAAAGGGCCAATTTGTTAGAAGAATTTTCTAACCTAGAATTTCCGTATGCCAGTGAAATCACCATTCCCCATCCCTGTCGTGTGCACTCATGTGTATGTATAGTTTTCATTTTGTATTTAATTATTTCCTTCATTATTTCTTTTTCAGCTTGGAGAGCTTATTCCTATTCCTGCTGATAGCCCACCGCCTCCTGCATTTTCCAGCAATGTATGTATAAATAGTTGGTGATAATATAGAAATAAACACAGATACAGATATAGATAGATATGCATTGAGTCACCATATTGCAAGTCTTTCTAGTTATATGGTTTAGTTTATGGCTTATTTGATTATGCAGAACATGGTCATGAATATAACTGAAAAAAAGTGAATTAGATGTGCCATGGACAGTTGAGTGTCCATCAAATCACCTACAACTGGAACTCTGGAGAAACAATATTAGAACTGGAAGGACCTAAGAGATCATCTAATCCAATCCCTTCATTTTACAAATAAGGGAGCTGAGATTCAAAAAAGTAAAAATTATTTGCCCAAGGTCATAGAGAGAGTGTGGCAGTAAGGAGCAGAGCCCAAGCTAGGTGGTACAGTGGATAGAGTACCTAACCCGGAAACAGGAAGACTCATCTTCATGAGTTCAAATCTAGCCTCAGACACTGACTAGATATGTGATTCTAGATATGCGATAAGTCACCTAACCCTGCTTGCCTCAGTTTCCCCATCTGTAAAATAAGTTGGTGAAGGAAATGGCAACTACTCTAGAATCTTTGCTAAGAAGACCCCAAATGGGGTCATGAAGAGTTGGGGCATGACTGAAAATGACTGAACAACAACTTCTGACTCCAAATCTAATGGTCCTTCCACTATAACTAGTTACTTGTTTATTTGTTTTGGGGAAGGGCAATATCTGTATTTGTAATTTCATTGGTGTAGAGAGCTTCTGGCATGGAAACCTCACTCTACCAATGAAAAACAGCAACTTGTCTATAATTTAAAGTACTGTTTGGGGCTCTGAAAAATTAAGTTACTTGCCATAGTTACACAGCAAATATATATGTGTGTGTATGTGTGTATGTATATATATACTATATATGTGTATGTATGTATATATACACATATATGTGTATGTGTGTGTGTGTACATACATACATACATATCTCGGAGATAGGGCTTGAATCTAAGTCTTTTTTACTTTAGGGTGGGCCCTTTAACCTCCACACCAGTGCTGCCTCTCATAGCGTTGTCATACTTCACTACACTCCCTCCAAACAGGGGAAGCTTTACATTCTTCTTCATCCTCATGATAACTCATATTTATTTATGTAGTGCTTTGGTTTACAAAATTATTTATATGCATCATTTATTTTCATTGATAGTAAAGCGTTTAATAAACACTTAATAGGTACCAGATACTATGTTAATTGTGAGGAAACAAAGAAAGACAAAAAAAAAGCTTTTTGTGGCCCCCCCAGGAGCTTATAATCTAATAAGGGAGATGATATTCAGATGACTGTACATACAAGATATATAAAGTAAAACTAGAAGATAATCTCAGAGGTCTGAGGGTTAGGGATGGGGGAAGGGAAGGAAGCAGGAGGGAAGAGACCATGAAAAACTTTCTGAAAAAGATACTATTTGAGCTAAATTGTAAAGAGATGGGAGGTGAGGAGGGATAGCATTCCAGGCATGGAGAACAGCTAATGCAGAGGCATGAAGTAAGGATATGAAATTGTGTGTAAGGAGCACCAAGTAACCAGTATAGTTGTATCATAGAGTAGAAGGGTATAAGAATGTGGAAGGGTGTAAAATGAAAGAGTGGACAGATAGGAAGGGACCAGCTTGTGCTGAACAATATTTTTTGTTTGATCCTAAGACTAACAGGGTACTACTGGTGTCTATTGAGTAAAGAGAGATGTCATGGTCCAACCTGTTTTAGAAAAATCACTTTGGCAGCTGGGTAGCAGATAGATTGGAAAGGGAAGAAACATGAAGGAGGAGACCAATCAGAAGGCTATTACAATAGTCCTTATGATAGGTGATGAAGACCTGTACTAGAGTATATGAGTAGAGGAGATATATGAGAGATGCTTGAAAGGTAGAAATGACAAGATTTTGCAACAGATTGCATATGTGGAGGGAGTGTGAGTCAGGGTTGAGGATGACATCAAGTTTGCAGGCCTAGTTGACTGGAAGGATGGTGGTGCCCTTATTAGACTGCAAGTTTCTTGAGGGTATACACACCATGCTTTTTAACTTTCTTTATACTCCACCTCCCCACCAGTAATACAGAAATTAGAAGCAGGGAAGGTTTTTTAAGCCAGTGAATTCTGTTTGGACATGGATTTGAGATGGTTATAAATCTGTCCATCAAGTGTTTAGTGAGCACATACTATGTATCCAACATTATATTATCTTAAAGTTCCACAACCACCCCTGCCCTGTTATTATTGTTTAATATTAATCACAAGTCCAGAGAGCACTATGTCCCAAAGTAACATATACGTTATATGGTCATTCATTTATTTAACAAGTATTTATCAGCTCACATCTGCTACTTTCAGTTCTGGATACTACATTTTAAGGGAGACATTGGCAAACCAGAGCAAATCTGGAGAAGAGAAGCTAGGATTGATAAAGTATTATTCAATTCAATTAAACACAGATTTATTATATGCATACTTATTTGTTGTTGTTAGTCCTTCATTCTCAAAGAGGACTAATGATATCAGAAGAGTGATGTCTTGACTTGCAAGTGAATTGGATTTAAGTGAGGCAGAGCTGTGCAAAGTCATCAGCCTCACTCTCTCCTCCAGAGCCATTGGAGTCCAGTGGAGTCCAAGTCAATTCTTGCCTGGCCTTAATCACTGAATGGGTGTTACCTCAGACAAATTGAGACCTGGGAAAGACCTTAGCTTAAAAAGGCCAAGGTCTTCCACTACATCCAAGACCATTATCAGCTGTCCTGACCTATGTCTTGCCACTGGATTCCAATGCATACTATTATTTAGCACTAGGGGTACAAAGATAAAGACAGTAAGAGCAGTATAATCCAGAACATGAAGCATGTTAATTTTATAGTCATGGGATATGGGTTCAAATCTCAATTCCATCTGTGTGGTCTTTAGACAAGTCATATAACTGTTCTATTAACAACATGGAATGTAGAGCAATCTATCAGATGTAGTCAAGCATTATCTGTTGACAATGAGAATTGGGAAGCAGAGTAAAGGGGAAATGATTGGTGTAAAATTATTTTAAAAATCAATAAAACTTTTCAAAAATATTTAAGATAAAATTATGATATAAAAACATTTATTTCCATCTTTTAAATGACAGGCTCACCACCCTCTACCTCCACCAATCCCTGCTTCAAATACCAATTATGAGAAACCAGCAGTAAGTATGTGTGTTTGAGAATTGTCAACTTAGTATATCCATGACATAGCTTTTTTCCCACTGCCATCTTGAGATAACTCCATTCCCTTTCCAACAATAGAACAAATGCAATGAGCAATTCAGCATGGCTCCCCTTTTACACCTCTGCTAAAACATAAATGAAATCAGTTCAATAGAGTCACCCTTGGTTGTATGCAAATGCCAGGCTTGGCCCTGAAGAGCCTGGAATGAAATAATGGAAATACTGTAAGTCAGAATTGAAATGCTGTGAAGAGGAAGGATTCTGAAAGGAAGTCTAGCTTTAATGAATGTTTCCACAGCCCATACAGTTAGTTCCACGTCTCACAATCAAGAGCAAAAAGTTGACCCGCATTTTTAAAGGAATAAAACATGTGGCTGTCAGTACCAGAGCCCAGCTGTGCATGTTCTAAGCTCAAATTTCTTTTTGGCTTTTCAGCTCCGCCTAGTTGCTTTGAATATGCCATTTTCTGGGGACATTAGAGCCGATTTCCAGTGCTTTCAGCAGGCGCAGGCTGCTGGTTTATTGTCCACTTACAGAGCTTTCTTATCATTCCATTTACAAGATCTGTCCACAATTGTGAGAAAAGCAGACAGCTACAGCCTGCCAATAGTTAACCTTAAGGTAAGGGTGAACTTTTTTTTGTCTATTGTTTTTATAAAATCTTTGCCACTGAACCTCAAAACTGCTGTCCCAGAGAGTTTCTTTTCTTTTCTCTCTTATGTTACCCCCCAACACCCCACTCACTCTGCAGCTAAATCCCAGATTTAATTGGACAATTCAATTCAACATTTAGCGAGCATCTTCTTTGTGCCAGGTTCTGGAAATATGAAGATAGAAAAAAAAATTACAGTCTGTGTCCTCAAGGAGCTTATAATCCATTAGAAGATGGGGAGGGAAAGAATATGACACATACACAAGAATAATGCAAGGTAAAATATGATAAGTACATAAGAGTGCTATCTAGGCAGGGTAAAATAAGAAAAGTCAAGAAGAGAAATCATTTTCCTCAAGGGAATCAGGAAAGATTTTGTAGAGGAGGTGGTACCTGAGTTAGCCCTTGAAAGAAAGATTTGGTATGAGAGGGGATCCAATGCAGGCATGGAGTTTGGACAACACGTACAGACAGAGGTAGAATGATGAAGGACAGAATCAGTGAAGAGCTGAAAGTCCAGTTTGGCTGGCATTTCAGTCAGTCAGCCTTCCTTTAATTTAACTCAGGACAAAGGAATGAATAGAAAGCATAAAAGAGGCCAAAGTAAGTTACAGTGCTTAAGATGGTAGAGTTTATATAAATTTAGAGATGGTCTTTGTTGTTGTTTGACCCTGTCTGAGGAAGTTGGCCAGTCATCTTTCTGGCCCCTTAAACCTCAGTAGGAAAGTGAGTGGGAATTCAGAGCTCTTTGAGCAGTGCAAAATAACTGTTGAAAAAAAAAATCTTTGAAGGGGTAAATTCACACTCCAAGCATGATCACAGACACTCTGACTCCCTTTGGGGGTGGCACACTGAAGTAAAAAAAGGAACAAATGCACAACACCTCCATCCCCTTGAGTTTTTCTGAGGACCAGCCCTAGCCTTGTGACCTGGATGCTACAACCCAGGTGGGTGGAGATGTTTCACAAGAAAGAGGAACACCAGAGAAAAGGCATTTTTTTTTCAAGAGCCTCCCAAAGAAACCAAGAAGCTAGGCAGTAAAGTGTAGTGGGCAGAGCCCTGGACATGGAATCAGAAAGCCTGAGTTCAAATCCCTCTCAAACACTCATTAGCTATCTGAGACCAGGCAAGTCATTTGACCTATTTCAGACTCAATTTCCTCATCCTTTTGTAACTCAGTGTTCAAGCCCATTCGCCTAAGACTCTACTCGTTGGTAAAGAATGACGACTTTGATGCTCTGAGGGGTGGAATTAGTAAGAGGTTGAGAAAGGAGAAATCATAAAGCTTCCAGCTTTGAGAGAGGACACAAAAGATTCCAAATTGTCTAAAGGAAGAGAAAGAATCCTGGAAGCAGCCACCTTAGAGGCAACTTTCATGCAGGGCTGGAATGTAGAGAATCCTTCTCCATCAATTAGAAGAGTCTTATACGAATGGAATTGAGCTCTGAGTTACATTAAAAATAGGGGATTTGGACTCAAAAATCTCTGAGGTCCCTTCTGTTATAAAGATCACCCCAGACTAAATTTTCCAAAGACTGGTGTCTCAAAGACTTTTTATTAAAGAGGTTGAAGTCCATCCTTTTGATTCTCAAGAGAAACCAGCACACCTCCTTGGAAGTGGAGAAATGTGCAAGTAAAGAAGCCAAAGCAAGCTTTATAGTTAGTAATTGCCTAACTCCTCCCTTCTGAATCAGGATTGGTCCTAGTCCTTCTGGGTTACAATCTTCCTTATAGGCCACACCCTTAACATACATTATGTGCCTAGAAGTGTGTTGTCACCCCACCCCCACCCCACCCCCGAAGAGAAGTTAGCCTGTCTGTGCTGATTTCTTATCTACTTATGTGGAAACTTAACTCTTTCATCTCTCACACTTCTTGCTCTAAATCTATGATCTTACGAAAAGCACTTCTCAGTTTTTTTTTGCCAGGAAGTATCTCCCATCCATACTGTATTCCCTTTTCTGGGTTCAATTAGTATAGGGATAAAAGTTGACTCTAAATTGGGTTATATGAGGGTAGAAGAAGCTATTCTCTCACCAAAAAACTGTATGTGGCCCCTCATATAGTTTTTTTAATTTCTAGTTTTATTTTTTAAATCATTTAACAAGAACAATAATCAATTTTAAATTCAAAAGAATAAAAAGTCTTTTTTAAATAGATTAATTTACAACAAAATCTTCTACTTAAAATATTAGCACTTTGTATAGGACCAAGAAGGCCAATAAGCTCCAGTTTAAACAGCAGATTTGCACAATTAATATATTTTCCCCTACATTTGTTGGCACAAAAATATGTAGATTATAGAACTCCTAATAAGACAACCCCCACCTAGGAGTTATGCAAAGAATAACCACAGGAATGACTGGTATCATATTGATTTCAAGCATCTGAATAGCCAAGAGTCCTGGATGGTGAGGGAATGTGGAATATTGGGAAGAATAATAGACTTGGAATTAGGTGTCTCAAGTTCAAGACTCAGCTATAACATTTATTTGCTATGTGACACTGGGCATGTCCCTTAACCTCTATGGGTCTTTGATTTTTCATCTGTAAATTGAGGATAAGAACACAAACTATTTACTTCAAGAAACTGTTGTAAGCAAAGTTCATTGTCAACTTTAAAATTCTATATATTTGGGTTATTATTAAGCAGTGTAGGAAAGGAGTTCAAAACCCATCAAGTTCACATGGAGAGGCGAAGTCCAGGAAATAAGCACAAATAGGGAGGAAGTGGGTGGGTAGGAGAATCCTTTATTCTCTGCCCTGAAGATGTTGTTGTTCTTTGTCCTGAGGACCTTGACATGAAAGTGAATTGAATTTAAGTGAGGAAGGGCTGTGCAGTCACCAGTCTCACTTTCTCCTCCAGAGCCATCTGGATCCTGTGGCAAGATATAGATCAGCAAGACTGGAGATAGTCCCTGATGCAGTAGGAGACCTTGGCCTTTTTAAGCTAAGGTCTTTAACAGGTCTCAGTTTGACTGAGGCAATACCCATTCAGTGATTAAGACTAGGTAAGAAATGAGGCAAAGAATGGCCTCTTTTGCCTAGTCAAAAAAAAAAATCAATATGGAAGGGAAAGACCCTCAGGGTTTGTACCCAAAATAGAAACAGTTTCTATTCACATTCACCCTCAGCCATCAGGGCCCAAACGATGACTAGGTAGGGTTTAGCAATTAGCACAAATTAGAAATTTGTACAAATAAGGAAGAAGTGGTTGGGTAGAAGAATTCTTTACTCTCTTGCCAGAAGATGTACTGTGTGTGAACAGTCAGTGACTAACAAGGTATATATTTTTAATCAGTCAGTCAACAAACATCTATTAAACATTTATTATGTGCCAAGTAGGCAGTTGGAGATACTGTGAGAGACAGATGCACTACGCCTACTCTCAAAAAGGCCACATTCTAAGGAGGTAGACAACATACAAACATTGTATACCTACAAGAGATATTCAAGGTAGAAGAAGGTAATCTCAGAGGGAAAACAATGAGGATGGGAGGGCTGAGGGGAAGGCCCCTTGCAGAAGGTAGGATTTGAGCTGAATCTTGAAGGAAGCCAGAAAAGCGAATAGGCAAAGCTGAGGAGAGAATTCCAGAGTCACTCCGGACTATATCAGAGTAAGAGAGATAAGGCTTCCAGGGAGCGCTAGAAGCCACATCGTGACAGATCAGTGAAAGAAACAGTTTTAGACAAACAGGACCCTCTAGCATCCTTCAAATCTAAATAACTCAAAATCTTATTAGAAACAAATCATAGTTTGATTCTGCATTGTACCTCGAGTACCTTGAGAGCTTCTGAAAATTTATCCAATCCTTATACCATGCTATTAAAACTCACAGTTAAGCTCCAAATGTTAAAATATTGCTTTTGATTTCCGCAGGGAGAAATACTTTTCAATAATTGGGAGTCCATTTTTTCTGGCCATGGAGGTCAATTCAATAACCACGTTCCAATATATTCCTTTGATGGCCGGAATGTTATGACAGACCCATCATGGTAAGTGCTTTTTATACTGAGAAGCCCTAACAAATACATTAAATGCTATTTTATCTGGCATTCAATCAATTGGACAGCTCTATCAGTTAGCACTTTGGAGTTTGTCTGGTACAAGGACAAGTGATGCTGTTAAAGACAATCATAGATTTTGAACTGTAGGGTTGAAAGTCTTCCTCATTTTACAGATGAGGAAACTGAGTCCCAGAAAGATTGAATGGATTACTCAGGATAGTGAATAGCAGAACCAGTATTTGAACCTAAATCCTCAGTTATTAAATTAAATCTCTTATCTGCACCATGCTAAATACTGCAAGATCTCAAAGTAAGTTGATTAAAAGAAAAAAAAATCACCATGTTGGTCCTAATGTAGATTACATTTCATTCGTAAATTTTACTCAAGTGGGTCTATTATTACACTCTTACTGCCATAGATGACAATAACAATTAAAGTGAGAAAAACAAAGAGCACCATGATGTTAAAAATGGCTGAAACATCTTAAAATGAATTGATAATAATGTTTTTTTAAATATTTCGCATTAAATATTTTTAAATAATGATTTCCTTTTTTGTCTAAAACTATTTTCCCTTCATTTAAGGGGGGCAGGCAGCCTTTCTTCTTGGGAAGCCTATATTTGGATTAACAAAATGTAGTATATTCAACATGGTTTTAGTTCTATGTATTTGCTGAAATGCTAATCTTTTGAAAATTGCTAATCCTCATAGAAATCAATTATATATATAGATGTATAGAGTATACATATACATACATATGGATAGTAGAGAATTTAATATAGCTTTGCCTTAGCCTTCAAGATGTCAATTCACTGATAAAGCACCATTTCTAGAAATAACCATACAAAATTCTCCCGTAGGCCTCAGAAGGTAATATGGCATGGCTCCAACACAAATGGAATTCGACTGGTAAGCAACTACTGTGAAGCATGGAGAACAGCAGATATAGCTGTAACAGGAAACGCATCACCACTGAGCACAGGAAAAATCTTGGATCAAAAAACCTATAGTTGTGCTAATAAGCTAATTGTTTTATGTATTGAAAACAGCTTTATGACTGATGTAAGAAAATGATGACCATCTACCCTACTGAAGAAATCTACAATTTTATTACCTAAAAAGTGGACACTGAAATTTGATTTTTAATGATGTATATATTGTGTTTTAATTGCACATTTATTACTAAAGTAACCAAAGAAAACATACCTCAGTACACTCAGTACTAAAAACATAGAAAGAACTCAGATAAAAGACAAAATCTGATTTATACTTTGGTGCTAGGATCTGCAAGGATTCCCCAAGTGGTGTGACAAGAAAACATCCTTGCACATATCAATAATAAGTGTGCAAATCAATGTAGGCCCAGAAATGTGCCCATGCAATAACACAGCTGCTTTCATGCCACTGTCTCCTCAAGAAAGTTGTTTTCACATTGTAACTGTCTCTGCTGAGTGTCAGATGCTCTTCATGTTTTCTTAACAAAATTTTAGCAACATTATCCCATTTTAAGTTATATATGAACCAAATGTTTCATTCCTTATCATGCATCCATCATTTATAATTGCTATTGTTCACAAAGAGGGGGAAAACCCCTAAAAATTAACTAAGTTTTATTCTTAAATGCTATCAGTAAGTGTTCATTTTCTTCAACAGAATTACCGATTTGCCATCATATTTTAGCAGGCTTACTTTTCAAAATAATCGTAGCTTAGTGTGGCATTTGTTCATGTACCATAACCGAACTGACTTGCTGGAAAAGTTGAAATTCCAAAGCATCTTGAATGAGAAATGTGACTATAAATAGATGTTGCCTGCCTCCTTTTAAAAATGATTTTGTGACTTGTATTTGACAACTCTTGAATTGTAATCCTTTTAGCGAAATGAGAATTTCCATGCAAATTACTTTGCTGGTAAACATACATACACATATAGATATATAAAATATTATTTTATTTTTTCATCTGAATTAACATAAAACATTTTTCCAAGATTATCCTATGTTCTCTCCAAATATCATATTTTCATTGTTATGATATGGAAATAAACTTTTGAGGGGTTTTCAAACCACATGGAACTGTGTACTTGGAGAGCACAAGAATCCCAGAGTGCAAAAACTCAAGTAGATAGCTTATCTCCTCCAGGTGCGTATTTCTGCCATCTATGCAGCTCACAACCCATCCATGCCCACCTGTGCTATGTGACTCCTGTCCACATTTTCCCACAGGTTCTGCCTGTGAGAACACCCCAACATACTGAGAGCATTTCTCCCAATATCACAATTATACCAATGGAACACACAGGTTGCCTATCACTTATTCCCTATTTTAACTATGTAACTAGCCCATCATCTTTTTTGATCATGCATTTACTCCAGTTCTTACTGATACTTCCAATTTTGTTACATACTGTACCCACCATACACTGGTAAACATTAGAATTTTTTGGAGTCTTTAGTGTCTCATGACTTTCAGCCATACTGCATTTTTCTAAATCTCTTGGGGTTTCCCCTGCTTAGGACTCACTAAGATGAAAAAGATATCTCTAGTTCTGATGGTTTTCTGCTAAACAAAGATTAGTAGGTGAAGAAATAGAGAACAAGATGAAGGAGGAAGCAAAACTCCTGGAAATTCTACTCAAACTTGTCTTCCCAGAAAATGTCTCTGCAACTGGCCCCACATTCGAAGGCCTCTCAATGCCAGCTTTCTCCACGGGCATTGTTTAGAAAGGTGAAATTATGAAGAATGTTACCTAAGGCTCCCCACATTTCCTCTTTCTACTTCCTTTTCTTTACTTCAGTACTCTCTTCCCTGCCCCCATCCAAACAGTCAGTCAATCAACAAGCTACCCAGTTCACTCAGTCTGCTCAGAATAAAGCATCTGATAGATTAATTCACATAGGGTATTAGTGAGTGATTCTATTATCCATCGTGGTAACATTTTAAACAAGAAACCCTTATTTTTATTAAGCCTCTTCCTACCTCCTTATAGCACTTTAGAGTCTGCAAAATGCTTTATATAAATTATATTACTTAAATCTCACAATAATCCTGTGAAGTAGTTTCTATAGCTATTATTATCATGCCCATTTTACACATGAAAAAACAGAGGCTCAATGATTGCCCATGAACATATGGCTAAAAAGTGTCAGAGACAGGATTTAAACCCACATCTTCCTGATTCCAAGTTCAATACCCTAACCATTATATTGTAATATCTAGTCCATTTCTTAGTACTTTCCTTAAAATTGTTTTTCTTTACCTTGTTTTCCTATTAATCATATCATACACTCTTACTTTCTGCTGAGCTTGACCATTGGAGCGAATTGAATTGTTTTTCAAAGACTCCTTCAAATCCATCTTTTCCATTACTATTTTACTCCTTATATTCTTTCTAGCTCAAGTCCTACTGGCTGATTCCTGTATTTCCACTTCGTCTAGGAGACCGATGTGCCTCTTGTCCATTTCTTTATGCCTTTCTCCAATAATTTCTCTTTGTGTTCTCCTTCACTCAATTGTCTACCTAAAATCAATGAGCAAAGAGTACTGAATTCCTACTATATGCTTAGTACTGTGTTAGGTGTTGCAAGTGACAAAGGGATAGGTGTGTTAGATATTTCATAGATTTGGTCAGTGGTTAGTTATGGACAATAAGAGAAAAAGGACTCAGTGATACTATGATGAAAGCTTATTGTGGAAGTATGTAACCACGTGTCAGGTCCTCTTTTAAAGCCCACTTGCATATATTGAATGTGAGTCAACTAATTGCTCCACTTTCTACATTTCGTCTTTTGGACTCATTCTGGACACTCGAAGCATGTATGTCAATCTCCAACCTCACCTACAACAGATTGATGGGTTTTGCTTTCTAGTACATTGTGCAACCTTCTAGTTTCATGGGCTAGTTTATCACATTCATATTGATTTTTATTGCTATGTTTACTTTTCCTTGTATCAAATCCTTTTATATTCCTTCTTAAACAAACAAACACACACATACACACACACACAAATCAGTCAAGCAAACAACACTAGGTATCTGCAGATTTTATTGCATGGAATCATCTGATCCCAGTCTTTATCCTTCCAATTCCCCTTCCCTTTCCAGACTACAGCCAAATTCCCCCAGTTTTGCTTCAACCCACACCTATTTTCACCTTCTAATCAGCCCTATAATCAGTTTAATTTTTTTCACCTGAAGTCCCCTCTTCACTTTCACCCTCTATCCCTTTTTTCTCTCCTTTTCTATCACATCCCAGTCCTCTGTTTACTTTATTGTATTTCTGTTGCTATTTTTTTTTCTTTTTTAACCATCCCTTTTTTGGCCCAGGGAAAGATGAGGTTCCTTCTTCTTCCCACCCCTCACTTCTATGATTGAATGACCTTTACTTATGGTGCCCAGATTACAAGAAGTACTAGTTTTGTTTTTGAAAACCTAGGCCAGGTCTTGTCTTTTTTTTTTTTTTTACCTTGATGACTCTTAAGTAGGAGTAGAGGGGAACTATGGCCTTTTCTCCCTCTTTCATTATCTAAACACTGTTAATTACCTAGACTTTTTGAATTATTTAAAATTATTTACCTCCAAAAAACCAAGGATCTATTTCCATTTTATTATAGTTATAACTAAAGAGTAGTTGAATAAAGTTATATTTATTATAGTATCTATGAAAATTTTTTTTTGCATGTACTTAATATTCAGGGTAAACACCTTGTGCTAGGAGAGCTCTTAAAGTAGAGTTACACTCTATCAAATCAAATCCTTTCTATGGGCAACAAACAATAAATACACTGGTCTGTACCTTTTGGACAATTATATGTGGCTGAACATATGGTCTCCCATAGAATATCATTTGTGAAAGCCTTCCTAGAGCCAGCTGGTGACATACTGGATCCAGTGCTAGGTCTGTAGTCAGGAAGACCTATGTTCAAATTTGGCCTCAGAAACTTACTAGTTGTGTGACCTTGAGCAAGTAATTTAACCCTGATTGCCTCAAAAAAAAAGTATGCCTTAATGGGGATTAAGATATTATTTGCTAAAGAATGAGTCAAACTCTAAATAATGAAAATAATAAAAATTATATTAAAAGTAATGTCAATAGTACGGCAACATATCAAACTTTATGAGATGCAGCTAAAGCAGTTCTTAGAGGCAAATTTATTTACCTAATTGCTTATAATAGGAGAAAGGGAAGGAAATAAACATTTATATAGTGCTTACTATGTGCCAGGTACTATGCTAGATGCTTTTTACAAATATCTCATTTGATCTTCACAACAACCCTGTAAGATAGGCGTTATTATTATCCTCCTTTTAAAGTTGAAGAAACTGAGGCAAAAAGAGATAAAGTGATTTGTCCAGAGCCACCTAGCTGGTAAGGCTCTGTGGTCATATTTGAACTCAGGACTTTCAGACTCCAGGCCCAGAGCTCTATCTATTGTGCCTCCTAGCTGCCTAACAACAACAATAATAAAGAAAAAAGATTAATGATTTGGGTTTATAATTGAAATATGGAAAATCAAATTAAATGAGATCAAAAGAAGAAATTGATAAATCAAAGGAGAAATGAGAAAAACTAAAAGCAAAAGGAAAACTAAGTAAGAGTTAATTTTTTTGAAAGACCAATGAAAGCAATGAAACATTAGCTTATTTAACTGAAAGACAAAGAGACAGAGATAGAAATGGGTAATAATAATGATGATGATGATGATGATGATAGTTTTTATGTAGCATCCACTATGTGCCAGGCACTATGCAATACACAATACACAATAATTACACAAATATTATCTTGCCTAAGAGAGATGGAGAGAGAAAAAGATGGAGAGACAGACAGAGTAACAGAGAAAAAACTAAAAAAAGAGAGAAAGAGAAAGATTGAGACTGAGATTAAATGAATATAGCATTTGTTAAATGCTTACTTTATATGTACAAAACACTCTGCTAAGTGTTATCTAGGGATAGAAGGAGAAATGATAGTCCATGCTTTCAATGAGTTCACTTTCTAATGGGGAAGATAACACCATGTGGAAGGTTTCAGCTCCAATTCAGATGGAAAAGTTGCATGGTTCTTAGGGTGCAGCAGAAAAGCAAATGTTAATGCTTTTTCTTTAAAGAAAAAGAAAGGAATTTCATATTGGCCATTTACCTTAAATTAGAGAACATGCCTCTAGTTTCAGAAGGAAGGTAGGCCATTCCTTAGTTCTTGGGTGACAAGATAGTAGTTTCCCATTGATCTTTGATCAATCATTACTCAGTCCTCCTTAGAAGCCAGAACCCTTTCAAATTTTTCCTGGAAGGATCCTGTCACACTCTAGGGTCATTTATCTTACGTTCTCCAATTTCCTCTCTCAACAACAGACACAGTTTTACATAACAGGCAGATAGGTTTAGGGTTTTTATTTTATACATGTATATATTTTTTCCAGTTGAAGCTATTTGTGTTTTAAGTTATACAGATGGCACTTACAAAAAAAATGTATAGTATTGCCAATGTGTTTGCAAGTATGGAGTTGGTGCTGCTATAACTAGGTCATCCAATTAAAGATTTTTGGTGTTTTCTCCCCCTACCCCCAGGTTTCTCACTGGCAGCTCAAGCTAAAGAAATGTGATACTTCCTTTTTCTCCTCACCTCTCCCTGACCAAACAATAAAATTAACCTTAGGGGCAACTAGGGTGATGCAGTGGATACAGCACCAGCCCTGGAGTCAGGAGGACCTGAGTTCAAATCCAGCCTCAGACACTTGACACTTAATAGCTGTGTGATCTTGGGCAAGTCACTTAACCCTGATCACCTCACCCCCAAAACAAATTAATCTGGACCCTTTGTGCCTTAAAGCATAGGGGTTTTGTTTACACTTTTATAAAAAGAAATGTTTCTATTTTTTTAAATTACATTTGTGTAACAGAATCAGTTACAAGAAACTAACCCAAATTTCTTCTTCCCATTATTTACAA